CAATATGGAGTTGGTTAATACTATTAAGAGTTGGTTATCGTCCAACTTTGAGATGAAAGATATGGGTGAAGTTGCATATATTCTTGGAGTTAAGATTTCAAGAGATCGTTCCAAGAGATTATTGTCTCTTTCGCAAGAGACTTATATAAATAAAGTTCTTGAACGATTTTGTATGCAAGACTGTAAACCCATGGATACTCCTATTGCAAAAGGTGAAGGATTGAACCATAGGTTGTGTCCTAAGACTCCACAAGAGAAGGAAAAAATGAAACGTGTTCCTTATGCTAGTGCTATTGGAAGTTTAATGTACGCTATGATGTGTACAAGACCTGACATATGTTTTGCAGTTGGGATGGTAAGTAGGTACCAATCCAATCCAGGTCAAGCACATTGGAAAGCCGTAAAAAGAATCATGAGGTATCTAAAGGGTACTGCTAATTATTCATTGAGTTATCAAGGCAAGGATCTGCGACTTGAAGGCTACTCAGATGCTGATTGGGGAGGAGATTTAGATGAAAGGAAATCTACCTCTGGTTTTGTTTACTTACTGAATAATGGCGCCATATCTTGGAGCAGTAAGAAACAAACATGTATAGCATTGTCCACGATGGAAGCTGAGTTCGTGGCGTTGTCAGGAGCAGTACAAGAAGGTGTTTGGCTTAAGAGATTTTTGGATCATTTAGGTGTTGCTAAGAATGCTGAAAACTCATTGTTAGTCAATAGTGATAGTCAAGCAGCGATAGCATACACCACGGATCCGAAATATCATGGCAAGATCAAATATATAGATACCAAGTACAATTTTGTTAAAGATATGGTAGCACGAAAGGATATGAACTTGCAGTACATATCTACGCATAGAATGATAGCAGATCCTATGACGAAGCCAATTCCAAGAGATGTTTTCTATGGTCATGTAAAATCTCTGGGACTGCGTAGAAAGTGATGTACTGAATATTGTATTTTTCCCTGAGTGTTCACATTTAATGAAGTTGCTCTCTCATTATTAATGCCTATGAATTTATTTAATATTTATGCATCTCAATGCTTAGTGCATTATATCGAGAAAGTATGTCTGACAGATGAGATTAGCCCACTTACACGGGTAATCGCCTCTATTTACTGTGCGATAAATAGAGATGAGACAATTTTTTTTAAGCTTATTATCTGGGTGATAATTGAGAGCTCAAGCTTAAATTACAAATGTCGCCTTAACTGAATATTAAGATGAGGATATAATATTTACTATGTCCGAAGGTAAAATAACCCACATATTTTACTTTATCTGTCAATGATGCCAGATGTGAGTTCTGATGAATTCTTTAAAAGAGCAGATACGTGAACTCAAGTCTAGATATTAAGTATATCTAAACTATCATCTGTACGGCATTAAGTATAAAGACATGCGCTCCTAGGGGAAGGAGAGAATGCCGTAATACGTATTTCATACTACGTATGCATAAGACGACCTATAAGAGTGGCAAAAGTTTTTGATCTCAACTTTATGCCGTGTGAGACTCTTGAGGATAAGAGTTCCTCATTAAATGCCCTCACGACTCTAACTTATTCTCAAAATTTCTATTCAGTGTTCGCTATCTTAGGGTGTTGCCAATGGTCATGAATAATTCGATCTAATGGGGCATTTCTAGAAAAGCGAATTGAACTGAAATGGAGAGGATTAAGGAAAGGGGAAGATCAATTTATTTGTGATGTCATATTTTTTTTTTGTATTCACAGGTCGATCAATTATGATTTTGAGTAAATCATAGTTGTGAATACAATATACGAGATACTAAAAGAGATCAAGAGAGATATAAATGTGACTGATTGATCTAGGGTATTGCATACTATATCTACTTGATAACGTAATGCCCAATTTTGAGCTGCTATGTATTCCTAACAGATGCATCGCAACGAGCTCTCGAAGTATGCTGGTCGCACGGATGATTTGTTGATATGAACATTGCATAAAAGAGAGAGTTAATGTTTAGCCCACCATGTGCGAGTGGGAGATGATGGGTTTTCTTTGTGAATGATGGGTCGCTCATGATGGGCTAACCCAACCTATGAAAGGAAATAACTGCACTTGGCAGTTATTGTCTAGACACAAAAAGTGAGAACACACGTAAGAGTGTGTGTGGGTTTGCATTTTTCATCATCAGAAACTTATTCTCACAAAAGGACAAAGAAGAAGGGATTTTGTTCAACGATCTAAGGATTGTTTTCTCTCTCGACGTTGCAAAAGGAATATTTAATCCGTGGAAAACAAGGTACGTCCCTATTGGTGATGTACTTTAACGATCGGTGATTCAAGCTTATACTGGGTGCGTTTTTCGTATACGATTTTTGGGCGATACTCGTTAGTTCGAGTTTTATGTCGTTTAGGAATTTGTTTCTGTCTTTCCGCATTTCTAGGAATCTGTTTCCTTCAGAGGCCACTGGCGATGGCTGGAGCGTGGACTTGGTGAAGGTACGTGTTTGATGCTGCTGCATTTCTTGAGGACGGCGAGAAGCGCGGATGAACAGGGTATCAACATCAGCTCCCTTCCCTTGGGTAACTCAGAAGGACAACTTCCATGCATTTCTTGAGAAGGGGATTGAGCGAACGTGTAAAGATTGAGACTTCAAATAGGAAAGTCGGATGCCTCTCAATACATACGAAGAGCTATGCAAGATTGAAGAAGACAAGAATACAAAATTGATTCTTGAAAGGAGATTGAGCGATACGTGCAAGATTTGTATCTTCTCAACACATAACAAAAGAGCCATGCAAGATTGAACAAAACATACATGAATATGAATTGACATTTCAATGGCCGCGCAGAAACAAGGCAAAAGTGCAGACAACCATCAAGAGGGCGCCAAAAGTCGACGGCGGCGACGACGTCGCGAAGCCGGCAGAGGTGGCGGAGGTGACGTTGACGGCCAGCTTCTGGCCGGCCTCGCAGTGGTTGTCCATCGTGCAAATGAAGTAGTACATTCCGGCCTTTCTCGGGAGTCTGTATCCGTAGCCCAGGCCACTGGACCCTTTAGCAATGGGAGAAACCTTGGCACAACTGTCGTAGTCTTCTTTCGATACAGCAGCGAAACTATGCGTCCCGTTGTAGTCGAAATCTGGATAAATACTTAAAATGAGGGTATTGTCCGATCATAATTAAGCACGATATTGTCGTGGATTAGATTGGATTCATGAAACCTATTGGTATTGTAACAACCTTATTGGTACATGCATCACTGTCTAAGTCAAGGTGCTCATGTTTGCTAACCCCAATCTAAAGATATACCGACTTCGGAACTATCTGAATTTGAGATCTCGGTCACGGGAACATGCAAGACGACGAGCTGTTCGACTGAGAAGGATGAATCGGGTAAGGACACGAGAGCCCATCTAGTTGGGACATGGAATACCCTACGAGGCTCATGAATTGGGTAAGGTCGAGGTTTTTGACCCGTGCAAGTGGTCTTGACTATAATTCAAAGGCAATGCCGCAGTTAGTCGGCTACCGAAAGGTGTGAGCGAGCACGAGCTAGGCCAATTGTTTCGGCTCGACCCCAATTTAATAAAAATGCCTGGATCGAAGATTGGGCTGCTTAGCCCGAGTAATTATTATTTTTTTATTTTACAGATCAAAATTAGAATAATTAATATATTTTTTGACATAAAAAATCACTTTTTTCATACGTTTTTTTTTATCAAATTCATTTTTGACTTTTATCAAAGTGTTTTGAGTATGCATAATGTATATTCTATTATATATTATTTTTATATTTGTTATTTTTAAGTTTTCTTTCATAGGAAAAATGACACAAATAATCTCTGAATTTTGGCCAAATGTGCGATGTCATCTCTGAATTTTTAATTTGTTCAATTGGTCCCTAAACTTTAACCCAGTCTTCAATGTGGTCTTAGAATTTTTTATTTATTCAATGTGGTCCATTGACTTTTGTACATGTTCAATTTAGTCCCTCGAATATATGAAAGTATCAATGTTATCCCTAATCTTGAATTAATGGAAGGACAATATCGAACCTTTTCATATAATTCGGGGACTGCATTGAACATGAACCAAAAGTTTAGGGACCGCATTGAATAAATTAAAAGTTTATGGACTACATTGTATATTGTGCCAAAGTTTAAGATCTATTTGTGTCATTATCCCTTAACTAGTTCGAGCCGGCCTAAGAAAAGAAATAAGGGGAGCCTGAAACCTTGGTCCGAGCCCCGGGCCCTTGGCCCCAAAAAATTTGGGCCAGCCCGGGCTTTTAGGCTCTCCGGCTCTTTTGCTTACTCCTACCGAAACGTAACTAACATGAATATCAATCCCTACACCAAAAATATGAAAATGCCCTTCCTACCGGTCAATCTCAGGTAAGTCCTCCAACTTCACTCAGTTTTATTCCCTATTACGAAAGTTGAAAGCTCTCTCTTCTGAAATTCCAAATCGATGTCGCGAAAACGAAATAGGAGGAGGGGCTTAAGATTGCTTACGCAAAACGTCACTGCCGCTGAAGGATTTATTGGCAGCCCAGTCGGCGTAGAAACCAGCGGTGATGTTGGGCGGAGCAGTCCATCCTCTGCCGTCTCCGACGACGTAGTAAGTCACCGCTTCGCACTTGTTAGAGGCCAACACGACCAAAGCCAGAGCCATCGCCATGCTGCTTCTGCCCATCTTCTTCAAGAAATGTCTGATAGAAGAGAGAGAGAGAGAGAGACTCTGATGTGTTTGAACTCTGGTGGAGACGAAGCGAATGGCCCTTGGCTACTGGCAAACATTCGCAAATGATGCTGTACTCGTGCTATTTATAACGAGGGACTAATTCCAAATATCAAAATGCCCCTCATAAAGTTATTGGTAAACAGATTTTGTTAACGAGTGCCCCTCTAAGTAATTAATTAAATAAAATTTATAATTTCTAATGCATTGGCTATTGTCGTGTTACGTGTGATCATTACTTTGAAAAGTGAATAATTCCCTGTGTATGATAAGTAAATTCAATCTAGTCACCACAATTCAAGCGTGGAGTATAACAGTTCAAGATCTTATGGCTATACAACTCAAGCATCATTAGTTAATCCACAACAAAGGACAACATAAATTTTTCATTGAACTGTGTTTGAGACAAAAACAATCCAATGCGTTTAGAGATTTCTCACAGTTGACCGGGGGAAGCTTCCCAAATGTCTGAATGGATTCAACAGGACTGTGGAAGGCAAGCTCCTCGAGGGGGTCGGACCATTGAATCTGAACTCTTCAACTCTTACCAGTCTCCAAACTTGACCCATCTCATTTTCTCCATGGGAAGTGTCAATAATTGCTGTGGTTGGATACAATTCAAACCATCCTCATATGACATACTCTGCTAGACATCCACGAGACTTTGCATATCCGACATCTCTTAGTCCCAGAACACTCCCATCTCTTGTTGTGATTCTCAAGAGACAGATCACTGGAAACAACCCGAAAATCTTACTCCCCAAGAAGAAGATGGTCAGAAGTAGTCTGATCGTGTCGCTGGTCGTTGCGATGGCTTGTCTCACGGGGGGTGCGATGGCAGTGCGCTACACTGTCGGCAACGATGTAGGTTGGACTTCTCCACCGAACATAACTTCCGGGTTCTATGAGGATTGGGCTTCCAACAAAGTATTCATGGGTGGTGACTTTCTGGGTAAGCCATTGACACAGCTCCTTAGTTTCTTCACTGTTTTACTTGATGATATCTTATCATCACATTGGTTCTTTCACTTAGGCATTAGCTTAAATAAAGAACAATTGCATCACGTGAGAAGTTACTGTATAGAGATTACCAGATCAAGCCATTTACTCTTTACATATCTTTTGTACTGTGATTGACGCGGTTTGTTGTCTTATTCTTAAAATGAGTCTATCTAATATTATTTGCATGAAGGCGATTGTTTCTTCGTTTGCTTGTACCTCATCTTAATTGTTTTCATTCCAATATGCATGTTTGAGTGATTTTGTATCGCTAAATTGATAAGCGAACTATTTCTGATCAAATCTTTTCAGAGGCGTCCTTTTTTTGTTCCCGCCCGTCGATTCTAATGCTTGTGATGAAACTATATACTGCAGAATTCAATTTTAAGGGAACTCAGAACGTGGCCGTCGTATCAAAAGAAGAATTCGACCGCTGCAAAAAGGTGTCAAAGGTGTTGGGCGAAGGCGAGGAAGGCGAGGGCTATGTCTATTTGCTCCCTGCGAACGCGAACGGCATGTATTACTTCATCAGCACCATCAAATCTCATTGCGAGGGCGGTCAGAAGCTCGCCATCAATGTCGCCTCCAGCGTCCCATTTCTGTCTTCTCTCAGCTCCGATTCCTTGTCTGTGCTCGTCTCCTCTATACTGTCAGCTCTGTTCATCCACTGAGATTTGAATGTACTTGCATTCTTGCTTGAACTTGTGTCGTGTACGTCGTCTTCCACCGAAGTTCATGGGCGAATGCAAAACGAGACATTACTGAGATGATGACATGAGCTTCATCAATTTACCATAAGGACCTAAGAGAGGGAATGGACTAGAAAAGAGAATTGAACACAAAACTTCTATTGCGATCATTCGGACGAGAGATTTCCTATTCAGGCTTTGTTTGTTTCACGAAAAATAAATAATTTTAAAAATATTTTTTGAAAAATGATCGTTTGTATCGCTCGAAATAATTGGTTAATAATTTTTTTTTCATTATCGATAATAATATATATCTAAACATTTTCGGTGATAACGAAAAGATTTTTCGTTCATTTATTTTTGTAAATTATACAAGTGATCATTCTTAAGGGAAAATGACACAAACAATCCCTGAAGTTTGACCAAATATGCAATTTGATCTATGACCTTTTAATTTATTCAATATGGTCCTTGAACTTTAGTCTAATATTCAATTTAATCCCTGAACTTGTAATTTATTCAATGTGATGTATGGACTTTTGATACATGTTCAATATAGTTCTTGAACTATATGAAAATGTTCAATATAGTCCCTGAACTTAAATTAATGAAAGGACTACATTAAACATTTTCATATAATTCAGGGACTAAATTGAACATGTACCAAAAGTCTAGGGACCACATTAAACAAATTAAAAATTCAGGAACCACATTGAACATTAAGTTAAAGTTCAGGGACCACATTGAACAAATTAAAAGTTCAGGGACCAAATTGCACATTAAAACAAAGTTCATGGACTATTTGTGTTATTGTTCCTTAAGAAAATGGCATCCAAATCATTCATTTTCTGTGAAACAAATGCACCCTTAGTGATAGATAAATTGACAACTTCCCCCGATTCGTCACCTTTTTGTGTGATCACTTTGAGTACTCTTATTGGGACTTGATTCGCATGAAATGAGCCAGTTCATTACAACATGTGAAATTTAGGCACGAAACAGGTTGGAGATAATCGAGCTCTCACTCATATTTTTGGTTTTATATCGAAAGCCCGTTTAAAAAAGTGGGATAACATAGTAACAATCGTAAATTTTATGTACCAAATGCACTATAATTTTAAATTTCTCCTCAAGAAGTGTGAGTACTACGAATCTATTCTCGGTAATATTTTATGAATAAACTATGCCAATTAAAAAGTTTAGGACCCGATTACATTTCTCGTTGTACTATTAGTATTTGGAGGTTCATCGCATTGCATGCATAAAGTTTAAGACTCATGGTGCAATCTTTCCTAAGAAAATTGAAAAACCTAACACCACTCTCTCTCTCTCTCTCTCTCTCTCTCTCTCTCTCTCTCTCTCTCTCTCTCTCTCTCTCTCTCTCTCTCTCATGCAGAACCATCTCCATCGCTGCCGTTGCACCACCATTGCTTTGCCAACGAAGATGGTCACTGCCGCACAGAGCGAGAGAGAGGGAGAGAGCCTCAGACCTTGCGTCGAGGTTGATGATTGTCGTCTCTCTCAATCATACAAACAGAAGTAGCCGACTGTAGAACTAGAATTGAGGTTGATGACTATCGTCTACCTTAAGTATGTGGTGGACGAAGATTGTCATCTTGCTTGATGGAGCTCTCGTGGCAGGCAAAGATGGAAGTGGTCAGAATTTGAAATTAAGATGTGTTTTCTTACGTAAAGTAAATTTGTAAAAATAACGCCACAGGCCAGCCAGTTTATGCGAAACTAATTGAGTTACGATGGTTTAACAGGTGGAATCCGAAAGCGATGATGCCAGCGCGCTCGTCTCTATAGCTCAATCGGTGGAAACATAATTATGTACTTCTGGCCGACGTTAGCTCACTTGATAATCTAATGGCTCATGTGAAGTGGACTAACATAGGTCGGGAGTACCCGTCACTTGATCTACTGGTTCATGTAGAATGGGTCAATATAGATGGGGAGTATCCAAAAATAGCTCCGATGAGCGCGCAAAGGCGCTGAACCGTCAATGAGTGTCTAGACATTCCTCTTTGTGGACATCCATATCATGCGAGGAGGGACTCATGTGTTACTAAGACTCTGTTTATTTCGTGGAAAATAGATAATTTATAAACATTTCCTAAAAATAATGGCATTTATTGCTTATAAAAATGAATAGAGACATAAATCGTTGATGATAAAGGAAACATTATTCTTAATTAATTATTTCAAGCGATATAAATAATGATTTTTAGGAAAATGCTTTCCATATTATTCATTTTTCGCAAAACAAACGGAACCTAAGTGTTTGAAAGTTATATACGTGATCAGGACCAATCAAGAGAGACACCGGGTTTCGTTTTTAGTAAGCTTTAAGATATTGTGAGTTCCATACGACATGGACCAACCGAATTTTAACGACTCCGATGAATTCGAGTCGGCTCCCAACCAAGTTTCAGCAGGGAAAAGGGGAAAATGGGCGATGTTCGTCAAACAAGGGAGGGACGAACTTATTTGAAAATCGAGAAGGCTAGCATCACTGACATCTAAAACTTACAGGACCCTCTTTTTATTCCATACAATACATAAATATGAATGACCTTACAGGACCCTCTTTTTATTCCATACAATACATAAATATGAATGACCAATGAACAACCAAATTAACACGAGCTAAAAAAGGAAAATTCATCATCCTCCTCCCCTATGACCCAAATCTAGTTCATAAACATTGCGATGATGCTTGATGATACGAGAACCAGCACAGACAAGGCGCCGGCGGTGATTGAGGAAGCTGAGCTATTCGGTGACTCGGTTGGGGTCAGGCTAACGATGTTGCTGATGGCTAGCTTCAGCCCATTCTCGCAATCAGCATCAACGGTGGAGATGAAATAGTATGAGCCACTTGCGTCCGCTGGCAATGTGAACGTAAAGGCTTCGCCACCCTCGAAATATGAGACCACTTTAGTGCAGTTGTCGTATTCTTCTCTTGATACGTTCGCGACGTTGTGCATCCCATTCCATACAAACTCTGCATTATGGAGAGGGTTTAACAATTATGAGTATAATATGACATGAGAAAAGAAGAATTAAAATTGATATGAATTGTCACGTTTTGACTCCTCGAATTTTAGAACGATTATCGATTAATGTTGATTACTGTCCAAGTAAATCTAAACACCAATATAAGCTGACAGAAGTATATCGTCAGCATCAAGCAAGCGAACTAACATGTGGACATGAATTTGTTCCTCTGCATATCTAAGTGAGGATACTAAACATGTTCCTAAGAAGGAAAATAAGTAGACGAATGCTTACTCAAACTGTCGCCGCCCCTGAAAGTTTTGTTGGCGGCCCACTCGTCGTAATACCCAACAGTGATGTTCGACGTGGTCCAACCTCGGCTATCGCCGACTACATACTCTGTCGCCGCCGCACCTCCGAGGCAAGCCAGCATTGCGACGACCAAGAAACCCGCCAATACGACGCCTCTCCCCATCTTTTCTTCCAAATTGCGAGTCTCCCCGTCTTAAATCCAAAACGATTCAATACCCTCGAATCTTCTTTCACAATTGCAACTTCTGATGGGTGCGAAAGTGTGTAGGGTGGTTTGAAGCTAAGGCAGCTCTTTGGGGGTATTTATAGCGATGGGAATCAAGATAAGAATGAATATCAAAACCGACGCGAGTGAAAAGGTGGCAAAAGACTGATTCGATGCGTATATCTTTTGGCAAACATACCTTTACTTGGTCTTCTTTTGGAATTATTCAGAGATTTTGACCATTCGGTTATATAAAAGCAATCTAGGACATCTTTTGGCGAAACATACCTTGGCTTGGTCTTCTTTTGGAATCATTCAGAGATTTTGGCCATTTGGTTACATAAAAGCAATCTAGGACATGCTGACAATTTGACGATGCCAGGTGCCATCTTTGAATCGGGTGTGACGAAGCTAAACGTACGCCAACTTTGTACCTTTGAGAGTAAATTGTCATCGTCAATTGGCCATTGTTGTTGTTGTCCAAAGTGGTAGCTGCTGGTCTCTGTCTCTTTCTTATCTGGATGAAGTTCCAAACATCTTTTTGGGGGCGTGGGCTAGTAATTGTCGAAGAACAAATTTGACCACGGTTCATTTGTGAAATGTCGCCGGGCAATTGGCGGACGCGGAGGGTAATGGACCATCATTGGCCACTAGTTTTATCCTTGGAGCCGGATGACTTTCAAATCCAGTGTATAGGGAATTCCGCGCAACGTATCAAGCAGCTTAGGGTGCGAATGGTAACCATTCTGCTCCAGAAATCAAATTCTTGCCAGAAATTGATTTCTGGAAGAGAAATCTGTTTGGTAAAACATGACTAATTCTGCTCCATAAATTGATTTCTGGAACAGAAATCTGTTTTGATTTGTTGATTTTTTTTGCACCTAAAAAAATTTAAATTTTACTCAAAGTGGGTGGTTACATGTATTATAAGCCATTCTGTAAAGTTTTGAAATTTTTGATTTTTTTTAATTTTTTTTTGGGCACCTAAAAAAATTTAAATTTCACTCAAAGTGGGTGGCCACAGGTATTCTAAGCCATTTTGTGAAGTTTTGAATTATTTTTATTATTTTTATTTTTTTGGGCACCTCAAAAAATTTAAATTTTACTCAAAGTTGGTGGCTACAGATATTCTAAGCCATTCTGTGAAGTTTTGAATTTTTTATTTTATTTTATTTTTTGGGCACCTCAAAAAATTTAAATTTCACTCAAAGTGGGTGGCCACAGGTATTTTAAGCCATTTTGTGAAGTTTTGAAAATTTTTATTTTATTTTTATTTTTATTTTTTTGGGCACCTCAAAAAATTTAAATTTCACTCAAAGTAGGTGACCACAGGTATTTTAAGCCATTTTGTGAAATTTTGAAATTTTTGATTTTTTTTGGGCACCTCAAAAAATTTAAATTTCACTCAAAGTGGGTGGCCACACGTGTTTTAATCTATTCTGTGAAGTTTTGAAATTTTTGATTTTTTTTTTATTTTTAAAAAAAAATTCACCAAATTTCATATTTTCCCGAAATCTGACTTTTTTTTTATTTTCTGGAAATTTTTATGAATTTTTCTAGAATTTTTCAATTTTTATGCATTTTCTGAAAAAAAAAATTATGAGAAAATAGGGAGAATGCATTCCGGAATCAAGAAGCTACAAAAAGTAGCTTCTCTTTTTCTTGCCAAAAACTCATTCCGGAATAAAAAAATGCATTCTAGAATCAAGTATTTTTAACAAACACATTTTTATTCCAGAATGAAAAAATCGCTCCAGAATGCATTCCGGAAATTTTTTAACAAATGCCATTCTGTTCCGGAATGCATTCCGGAACAAAATTTTTATTTCGGAATGCATTCCATGCGCACCCTTATATGCCCAAGAGGAAATTACAAAAAAAATCCTAAGCCTCTTGTAATTGTGCCAATTTAGTCATCAATCTTTTTATTTTTGCCAATTGAGTCCTAAATATTTTGCATTTGTGCCAATACAGGTTGGAGGTGAGGTCCACCTCGCTGTCGCTGGGCAAGGTCAACCTAGCTAGTAGCTGGGCTGGCGAGGGTTGAGCCTCACCGGCCATGGGCGAGGCCCGACCTCATTCGGCGAGATCGTGCCTCGCCCAGCCACTGAGGAGGGCAGCTCTCACCAGAGGCCGCGAGGTCGAAGGCCACGAGGGCCGACCTTGCAGCTTCTGGCGAGGTCATGGCGAGGGTCGCCGGCGACCTCGCCAACCATAATGAAAAGACAAAAAAAGGAAAAAAAAGAGAGAAAAAATAAAATATTAATAAAAAATTCATAATAAAAATTGTTCATGTTAGTGCCGGCGGCGCCAGAGATTACAATAGGTTTAGGACTTTCTTGATAATTTTCTCCCAAAGATTGCCTAGCCAGCTCCGCATCGTCACCAATACTTATTAAACATCAACGAAATAACTGAGGCACGAATTCTCATAATATTGAGCAAGTAACACTCCAAGCCTCTCTAAATGAATCTCGGATCCCAAACACATAGATACCCGAAAAGAGGAGGAATTTCATTGAAGTGCTGAAGCAGTTTCTCCTTCATGGCAATAATGACCTTGCCGAAAAAACCGTTACCTTCCGCTAGTTACTGCGAAAACAGGTAGATGACTGACAAAACTCGATTGGTCGATTGTTATAAAATTAACGCGAAAATGATCTTCCAATTCAATCGATGTAAAATCACTTGAGAAATAAACGAGAAATGATAAATGGCACCAAAGATTTACATAGTTACTGTTCGAGTGTCGTACCTATTTCACGGAAAAAGTCATCGGAGAATCAAAATTTTAGTCGCTCGTATGCTCGAGTATATCCCACACCTAAATTAAGTCCAAACTCAAAATATTTATAAATAAGCAAGTCAATTGGACGTAAAACACAAAAACACAAATCGCCGTCTGTTTGTTAAGGACTCTTCGCGCGGCCAAGAAAGTGACCTCGAGGACGTCCTTTTATGCGGATGAGTTCATTGCTTCGCCGTACAACTGCACAATCTTTAAAGAATTCAAAATTCTCGGTTGGTCAAAACGGTCAAACCGAGACGTGTATCTTCTCCAACAAAGGAAACGAATCCTTTGTGCCCGTAGATAAAAACAAATCAGCAACTTCTCTATTTCAAAGCCATTTCTCACCGTTGATTTGGATTAAAGAAAGGTTAATACCACGAAAATTTCAAAACTGATACACATTTAGCAAATTTATTCAAAACTAATTTTTTTAATCACAAAAAACCCTAAATTGATACATCTGTGATAAATTTACTTTCCGTTAGTTGCCGTTAAATTTTATCATCAAATTGCTAAGTTGAATAGTACGTAACAGTTGATAGATGTACCAGTTTGGGGCTTTATCCCTCAATTTGTCATAAGTTTATCAATTTGTGATTTTTCATGATATTAATCCAATTTTACGGAGGGTAAATTTGTCACAAGTGTACCAGTTTGGGGTTTTTGGTGGTCAAAAAATTAGTTTAGGATAAATTTGTCATAGTTATACCAATTTGAGGCTTTTCGTGATCAAAAAAATAGTTTAGTTTAAATTTGTCACAGCTGTATCAGTTTGGGGTTTTTGGTGGTCATAAAATTAATTTAGGGTGAATCTGTCACAGGTGTACCGGTTTGGAGTTTTTTGTATTAACCCATTAAAGAAAGATTTCCTTGAACTCCTAATCATCCCTGCAATACCGATAGGTCTATGTCCTCCGAACCGGGTTTAAACTCGAAGACATAAATTTAACATTCATAAATGGTCACTCGTGATAGAGCTTTAAGAAGTCTCTGAACAGTTCAACAACACTCCAATCATCTTGCAATCGGTGGCTGAATACCGGCGGCCTCGGTGCAACAGAAGGAAAATGACGTCAACACATCTATCTGATCGGAGGCCTTCTATAACATCAAATAGCTGGAACTTCTCCTGGTTTTCACGTCTAAAGGTACCTTTTGGGGCTCCCTTCCTTGTTCCATGCACAGCATCTCCATCTCACGTACTCTTCGGGTGACACAGTCTCTGTAGTGAATCCATCGGCATGTACAAGTTACAGATTCAAAAAATTCTTTTAATGCCATCTTGCACGCAAAGATTGATAAGAGGGCAAACGCAGGGTACATGAAAGAATTGGCCATTGCAAACCGGCCTCATCTGTGTGACCATGTTCCTAGCAACTGATGTGCTGACAATGGCATCATGCAAAATAATAAAAATACATCGTTCGAAATGCCAAAGACATAGATTTTCGGATAAAAATTTGTCTGATTGTATGGATACAGATGCTTTTTAACGACAGAGTTCAATGATGTAACACCCAGTCTGGTCTATCCAGTGGCCCGTGACACAACAGTAGGCATAATTCATTTGGTTGATCCATATATTGGAAGTCAACGAGACTCGAATTACTTGCTGCTAGCAGCCGCAACAAATTCTGCTCTTTTCTCTTGGTACATACCCTTATAATGCCTGGTGTTTACGGTCCTTGGAACTCTTTTGTAATTTGGCCGAAACGCCCCTCGCACGAGGTCGATGAACCTCAGATCTTGAGCGAGCCTAAAGGGTACCTCGACCACTTTTGTACTGTGCAATGAGACATAGAACCCGGGCCTTGTCGTCCTTGAACGGAGTTCCGGTGTGGCTTTTTGCAGCGGCCTCATCCATCCAAGCGAGATGTTTGTCTCGCTGCCTCTTCAAGTGGCCTGTCCAGTCCCACCACCAGATTTCGTGGATAATTTCTCGCAGCACATACCATGCAGACGGCATTTTCTCGCCATTGGAGAGGTCCATGATGTGGAACATCTTCCAAAAATTGGCCCGGCCACCTACGCCAGAGCCTGACCATTGGCCCGAGTGAGAAGGGGCTGTGCCTCCAAATGGGGCCGGCCCCTCTCTGGGCTCGGGCCCAAATGGGCTGGGCCATGCCATGCTTGGGCAAGGACGGCCTAGTGGCCATTGCTAGCTTAGGCATTTGGCCTGCGCAAATAGCCCTAATTTAGAGTAATTTGCACGTAGTTGATAGGAGTCAAACGTGTAACCTCCAGCGCCTAAGCTAAAAATCCTCTCATG